TGCAGACTCAGAAATCAGTGCTGGAGAGTGGAGAGCTGTTAGTTCCTTTTCGCTCCTTGTGTGGCTACAAGTGGCGAGTGATTTGCTTTCTTTATGTCTCATAAGAAAGGTGGTGCCCATCTGTGATCGTACGTTTTCATGTTCAGCCTGACTGGACTAAGAGTTGCCTAGAAAACACACTCTGGGTGGATGTGCCTACAAGGGCATTTCCAGGGAGATTTATCTGAGGAAGGGAGACCCACCCTGAGTGGGTCCCAGTCTGAATGCAAAGAGAAAGGGTGGTCAGCAAAGGGGCCTGCCTGCACTTCCTCCTGCTTCCTGCCCACCAAGACATGAGTAAGTGGCCTCATATCCCTCCCGTGACAACTACACTCCCTGAACCATGGACCCACACAAACTCTCTCTCTCTCTCTCTCTCTCTCTCTCTCTCTCTCTCTCTCTCTCTCTCTCTCTCTCTCTCTCTCTCTCTCTCTCTCGCTGCTCTTCAGGTATGCTATCTTAGGGGTAGGAAACTGACAGAGTCTCTTTCTCGGGTCATAGCAGATAGCTTCAGGGCAGGGTCCATTCTTGGGGCCAGAGTTTAACTGAAAGCCCCGCCCATTCTCTTCCAAGTTCCTCCTGAGATGTGTGTGTGTGTGTATGTGTGTGTGTGTGTGTGTGTGTGTGTGTGTGTGTGTGTGTGTGTGTGTGTATGTGTATGTGTGTGTGTGTGTGAGATGGGGGTGCTGGGCTGCAGCGTGCCAGGGGCAGGCCGCAGTCAATAAAGCCAAGCCTGGTCTGACAGTGTGGTGATGGCATCCTGTGCTGCGCCCCCACATCTTCTGGTCTTAAAGAAAGGAAAAGCCTGCTTTCCTGATGGGAAATTCAAATTTCAACCTCTTGGAGTGGCTCTTTTGGTGCATGGTTCTATAAATTATGTCTAGCTGCCAGAGGGCTAGAAGGAAATTAATCATTCACTAATCCACTTCTTGTTTTGCTTGTTCGTTCAGTAAATGCTTTAAGCTTCCTTAAGGAAGCGGTTACTCCTTATTTAGCTGTAAACATCAAACTTTTAGCATAGTTCCTAGCATGTTGGGGATTACTGTTCTGTGCCAATTCAAATGCCCACGCACCGTTTAGTAAGAAGCGTGTTTCTAGAGTTAGGGGCACTAATGTTTTCGATAGATTTCTGCCACTGGTTGTGCACAGAAGCACAAACGTGCCGTCTGATTCTAACCTCCAGAATGTGGAATTGTATGTGCTAAAGTCTCTGTTGGAGAGTCACGACCACACGGCCATACTCCCACAAAGCCTGGAGTGACAAGGCTTCCCTGTTGGGTGTGTAACATACAGGCTTTCCTTTCTCTGGAATCAGCCATTCTCCACGGGAACTGTCTTATTTGCATCAAGCTTGAGCTAATATGCCTCTCTCTCTTCCGTCGACTAAAATTCAGGGGAGAAACTTTGTCCCTAGAGTCTTACGGCTAGGACAATAACAAGACTTTCCATGCTGGCCTAAACTTGTGGACTCTTCTCTCCCCTGGGCTCTTCTGGAAAAAGGTTTTGGGCAGGGGCAGGACCTCAAGTGAGAACTGTGACACTTAGACACTCAATGGGAAGGCCTGATAAAATGCTGCTCGGATGTCCAGGCTGAGGATGGTTCATTCCTTCACTGTAGTTTTCTCTGCGGGAAGAGATTTCCAGCTCACGGAGGGAGCCCAGGGCTCACACCTGCCTCTTTTTGTGGCTGTTAACTCCGACACTGACATTTCCAGCCCTTCGGGCCTTCTACCTGCCTTCTTGTCTTATTTATCTGTGGTGTGTCCCTAACCCTTTCCCTGTCCCCCCTAATTCACCATTCTCAATTTCCAATCTCACGTCACACTCCAGTCTCTTCCCCAGATGGCTTCTCCTCCTACCAGAGGGCCTACCCCAAGGACACTGCCTTTCCCTGCCTGCCTAGCTTCTTGATCCAGGTTTGTCTGGCCCTCCTCTCCCACTGGTGCCTCCGTTCCAATTGCTGTTAAATGCCGCCCGCCAGTGGTGCTGTCTTTTCCTTTTCCCGGGAGCTGGCACCCCACCTCCTGACACTGTCCTAGGTCACGCCGCTCCCTGGGCAGTGGCCACCAGTGGATTTCTGCTGCTGGTGAAATCACGCTCATATGCTGACACGCACTACTCAAAATCCCAACTGGGCCTTTTCTGCCATCTCTTGGAACTACCCACAAGTGGGTCTACTACGAGGAGTGAAACTGGGCAGCTAGGGAGAGCCTGAGTATCTGATTGGTCTCAATCGTCCATTCGACTGGATGGGTCAGCACCTGGGAGCTCGGTAGGGCACGTGTGGGAATGACTGGGAAGATGAGGACTTGCCTGGGGACGACCAGACCACCATGGCTGTGACCCAGCACGTGATCAACCCACTGGTGAACTTCTTATCACACTGGGCTACTGGGAGGCAGGGCCTCACCAGGAGAAGGTGTGTCCCTGGAGCCTCCATCTTGCCCCTGCCCCTTCCCATTCCTGCTCTGCCCTGCTTCCTTTCCAACCAATTTGTGGGCGGTTCTGTTTCCTGCTGGCCATCAGGTGAACAGTCTCCCACTGCTGTGATGCCTTGCACTGGGCCCTGAATGGCAGAGCCAGCTGGTTGTGCGCTGAGTCTGTGGAACCATGGACAAAACAAATCTTTCATTGCCAAGTAACAGCTCAGTAGGCAGTGTGCTCGCTGTTTGCAAGGACAGGGACTGGGTTTGGGTCCTTGGCATGGGAGCATGTGTGCCCGCAACTCCAGTGTTGGGGTAGGGATATGATGGCCATAGAAGGATCCTTGGAGCTCACTGAGAAGCCAGTCTAGCTGACTCAGTAAACTCCAGTGTCATGATGATGTTTCTGTTGCTGTAATAAGGTACCATGACAAAGGCAACTTACAGAAGGAAGAGTTTATTTGGCTTATGGTTCCAGAGGGTTAGAAGCCATGGCCATTGTGGTAGAGAGTGTGGAAGTGGGCAGGCATGGTACTTTAGCCATAGCTAAGAGCTTTCAGATTGATCTGCAGGCATAAGGCAGAGGGAGCTAGCTGGGGAAGTCAAGGGCTTTTGAAACCTCTAAGCCCACCCCCAGTGACACACCTCTTCCAACAAGGCCACACCTCCTAATCCTTCTCAAACAGTTCCACCAAGTGCAGATCAAGAATTAAAACATATGAGCTTATGGGAGCCACTCTCATTCAAACTACCACATCTGGATTTGATTGGCAGCTGTATCAGAGCAAACATAAGGTAGAAAGCGAATCAGACAGATATACATGATGTCAACTTCTGACCTCCTCATGTGCAGGTATATGCACGCACACCTACAACTCCCCACCACAAGTGCGTGCGCACACACAAACACCTTTCCTCCTTTGAGCCTGACAGGTGCTTGCCACACTGATGATGGGAGCTAACTAATACCTCTGAAGGTCTGAGTGACTTACTTCCAGCCTGCATTCGGCTGTTTCTCACAGGAACTCACTTTGACCTAGCAGACAAACCCCACTGCACAAGTCCTGCCTTGTGCATTACTCCCCGGGACACACAGACACCCCAACACACCTTTCCACACCAAGCACCACGCTGGCTTTCAGCCTCTGTGGATTTGCATCACATGACTGGACACACCTGGCACACCCACTTTCAGCTGGTTGCTCCCCCACAACTGAGTTTTACAGAAGGGGGGCACATCATGTGGTGCATTGTGTTCTCAGAAATGTTTTATACAAAAGACTTGAGGGGAGCCACATAAACACCAAGCTATTCAGTTTACAGCCATGAGGTCACGTCTGTAAGTTCTTCATCTTAGATGCTCTTCTGATGAGCAGATGGGAAGTGTCTCCCACAAACACTGTCCAGAATGTGTGACCACAGGCACGACAGAGTCCCTAAGGGGACTCATTGCCTTTTTCCCATATTTAGAAAAGGGAGAAGAGAGAAAGTTAAGTGTGGGGGAATAGACAAGATACTAGATTCTGTCCATCTCAAAGGAAGAATGCAGAGAAGGCAGCCGTAATCGGAAGTCAGGAATGAGACTGCCCGAGAGAGGCCAAGTATCAAAGCTCTGTTTATACACAGCGCTCTGAAGACACACAGCTACGAACAGGCAAGCAGGGCAATACTGTGTCAACCCACACTTTTAGTAAGGCAATGCCCGGATGGATGGATGGATGACAAGTGGATGGATGATAGGTGGATGGATGGATGGATGATGGATGGATGGATGGTTGGATGGACGGGGGGATGGATGGATGACAGGTGGATGGGTGGATGAATGGGTAGGCAGGCTGTGGCCGGTACTGTGTCTTTGTTTATAGAAACAGGTGACCTCCTCCTTCAGGCTCAGGTCAAGATCCACTCTCCTCACTTTACTCGATCTTCTCAGTTCCCTCTCCTCACCTCAGTCCCTTTACCCCATCCTCCTTACCCCACTCCCCCACACAGGTGCTGACCAAACACCGTTCTTAGGACTGAGCATAGGGTCAGCTGTCCTCTAAAACCAGAAAGCGGCATTCTGCCCCCAGGCTCCCCTAGGACACCCACATCTCCACTGAATTATTGATTCAGTAAATTCAAGGAGTCTTTGGAAGCATGACTTTTGTTTGCATGTGACAATGAGAGAAACTTCCAGATTTGGAAACTGAGAGGTCCAGTGATGCCTGGAGGTTTGGGGTCAGAGGTTAGTGGCTTCAGTGGGAAACTCCTCACTACTCAAGTAATCCCCAAGATGACGATGACGACGATGTTATCTGTGCACTGGAGGCACAGATTTGATCGGATAACAAGGATGATGTCAGCAATGTGGAAATTCCCCAGCGACTGACAAGCCTCTTTAAAGGCTTGCACACACACACACACACACACACACAAAACAAACCCAGAGCTAGAACATCTGTCACCTAAGAGGAGGGCAGGGGAGAGATGGACACCGAAGGCCTCCGGTACCATCACAGTTAGAGGATCAGGACCGGCTGAGGCAGCCTTACTCACGGTGATCATCTGAGCTACGTAGCTCTCGGGTCCTGTGTACTCCGTCGGGTCCTTCACCTTCACCAGGACGATGAAATACAAGTAATGCCACATGTTGTGCTCTGATTTGATGTGTTCCTCAAAGGAGACTGTCTTGTTGTCAAACTTGTCCCTTTCCAGGCCTGCAAACACAGGAAACACTGAGTATGTAAATTTTCCGTTAATCAGGACTTCTTCACATGATGAAAATGACCGTTATTAAAAAAATCAACAACAAACCTGCTTTCTGGGAGAGTGCGGCACTTTAAAATACCTTTATGATTAAAAAACAGCAATACAGAAAAGCTCTAGAGAAAAGAGGCTGTGGTTCATAGACTCACTCCCAGATATCATTTATTTTCCTCCCCTTGATCGTTGGGAATGTACAGGTTCTATTAAAAGAGGTCAGAGTTGCAGGTAATCTTAAACGTAGTCACGTCAGAACTGTCAAATTCAACCAGGCCAGAAGTGTAACAGAAAGAGACGGTGGCAGTTGCTCCAGAAAAGGAGATATGGCTCAGCAGGAAAAGCCTTTGCATAGAAGTGAGGTGATCTGCGTTTGATTCCTGGAGTTCCCGGAAGGCCCGGTTCCGTGGAGCACACCTGACACCCTAACGTTCCTACTGCACGGTGGGAAGCAGAGAAGGGGAGAATTGCCTGGAAGCTGACAGGCATCAGAGAGAGAGAGAGAGAGAGAGAGAGGGAGGGAGGGAGGGAGGGAGGGAGGGAGGGAGGGAGAGAGGGAGAGGGAGAGAGAGAGAGAGAGAGAGGGGGAGAGGGAGGGAGAGAGGGAGGGAGAGAGGAGGGAGGGAGAGAGAGAGGGAGGGAGAGAGGGAGGGAGAGAGGGAGGGAGAGAGGGAGGGAGAGGGAGAGAGGGAGAGGGAGAGAGGGAGAGGGAGAGGTAGAGACCCTGCCTCGAAAGAAGGCAGAAGGCAAGAAGTGACTCCAAAGTTGTCCTCTGGTCTCCACATGTGTGGACCGTGGCACTTAACACAGGCTGGTGCACACACATGCATACACACACATGCATACACATGTAGAGTGAAGTCTTCCCACCAGCCTGGTTCCAGAGCTGCATCAGTCCCAAATGAACACACAGGAGGCTGTATTAATTATGAAGCTGTTGCCCGTTTGCTTGGTTTCTTACTGGCTAGCTCTGACTCAAGTATTTACTCCATAATTGTTAACCTAAGTATTTCTTCTACCAGAGAAAGGGTCTGGACATTTTACTCCTCTGGGGGCTATATCGTGACTCTCTGCCTCTCTTTCCCAGAATCCTTCTTGACTTCTAGTCCCACCTATCTTGCTTCCCTATTGACCAACAGTCTTTATTGACATATATACACAGGACTTCCCCATCATACACACATAAAGATTTCAGAAAGAAAACAACAGGTAAAAGGAATGCTGGCTAATTGTGGCAGGAAAAAAAGAAAGATTCCTTCCTATCACCAAGACCTTGGGTTGGAGGAAAGCAGCCGAGGGAGTCGTGCCTTCAGTCACTGGCAGCCGGGGACAGCCCTGAGCTCACTGTGCAGGGGCAAGGACTCTCCTCGGGGCCCCGGGGCTCATGACACTCAGGGACGCTGGGGTCGGGATGGTCACTTCAGTTCTCAGGCGTCCTGGTTGGCGCTACTACTGCCTGATGAAACACCATGGCAGAAAGTAGTCTGGGGAGAAAGGGTTCATGTGGCTTACACTTCCATGTCCTAGTCATCACTGAAGGGGGTCAGGACGGGAACTCAAGCCGGGCAGGGACCTGGAGGCAGGAGCTGATGCAGAGGCCGTGGACGGGTGCTGCTTAACTGGCTCGTTTCTTATGGCTTGCTCAGCCTGATTTCTCGAAGACCCCAGGACCATCGGCCCAGGGATGGCCCCACCCGCAGTGGGCTGGGCACCTCCCACATCAGTCGCTAATTAAGGAAATTCCTTACAGACTTGCCTGCAGCCCCAGCTTATGGAGGCCCCTTAACTGAGGGTCCCTCTTCTCTGATGACTACAGCTTGTGTCAAACTGAAATAAATCCATGCAGCCCAATTGGTCCCTTGTCAACACGAAAACATCCTTGTAAAGCCACAGCCTTTCCTTTCTTGTTTATCCCCAAGATCACACATTAACATAAACATCACAGTGTAAAAACATCTCACAAACTTAAAATCCCACAGCCTTACAGCTACGCCTCTTTAAAAAAAATCCTGGAGTCTCTTTTAAAACTCAAAAGTCTCTAAACCGCGGGCTCCTATAAAATAAATAAATAAATAAATAAGTCAAATAAATTCTTACTTCAAGAGGGAGGAGTCAGAGCACCGTTACAATCAGATCAAAGCAAGACCGAACTCCAATAGTGTAAACAACTCAGCGTTCGATGTCTGGGGTTCATGGCTATCTCGGGGGCTCCTTCCGGGGGCTTGGGTCACTTCTACAGTGCTACACCGTGCCGCACACACAGCTCCCATCCTCAGCTGAGCTGGGGTCCACCCCGTTGCTGCTGCTGCTTTTCTTCATGGTCATCACATGGCCATGGGCGTCCCCAAACTCCTGGGGCCTTCTGCTGCAACCGGGCTGCACATCCCCCAATACCCTTCCCTGGGGGAATCTCTTCACGGTGACAAGCCTCAACTTCTCTCCGTGACCACTCCAATCCTACGGCTGCCACTGCCACCGAGGCTGCACCTTCACCAATGGCCTCTTCTGTGTGGGAGGGACTGTGGCCGGCCCTACCCAAGCCGCAGTCGCCCTGCCTCAGGTGCCCAGGCCAGCCAGCACGAGCACGCACATGCGAGGCAGGCACTTCCTCCCTGAGCCAAGCCTGCCTCTATGCCCAGAAACCGCTGATGAAGACACACCTGACCCAGAGACACCAATGAGTAAAGGACACACAGCAGAGTCAGCGCCTGAGCCAATGGGACCCTGGGAGGGGGTACAAAGGCAGGCCTGACTTCCTGAATAAACGAGTCTGCAGCCTGCTCTGCCACTCACTGACTCCCAGTGCCTGAGTCCTTGGTGCTGCCTCTTCTCAACCCCTCCCCCAGGGGAGGCCTCTCCTGCTGCTAAGCCTCAGCTGCTCTCCACGAACTCCTTCATGCCTTCAAAACCAGTAACACCTGGGTGACTCTTACATTAGCAAGTAAACCTTCCGTGTGCTCTCTGAAACACTTCCCTGAAGGTTTCACCCCAGTGATGCTGGTCTCCCCTTCATCACGGCTGTTTTCTCAGCCCCACCTGACCAGCTCCAGTTGTCCCAGCAAAGCAAAGGTTTCACGTCAGTGGTGCTGGCCTCTTGTTAATCACAGCTAAGTCTTCAGCCCCAGCTGGCCAGAACCAGAACGTCTTAAGTCAGGGTAACAAATGGCTCTGATAACCTTTAAACTTCTCCCTGAAACGTCACAAGCCAGTCTTCCACAAGGATGCCAACCTTCTTGTCTTCCAAGTTCCTGCAGAAGAACAGCCCACTGGGCTCTCAACACTCAGTGGCTTTTATAGCCCCAAGTTCCGAAGTCCTTCCACGATCCTCCCGCAAACACAAGGCCAGGTCTGTCTGTGACAGCGGTACCCCACTATCCTGGCACCGATTTATATCCTACTTAGAAACCCTATTGCTTCCACGACTAAAAGGAAACTGGGAAGGAAAGGGTTTGTTTGGCGTGTACTCCTACATCATAGACCACCAACGAAGGAAGTCAGAGGAACTCAAACAGGGCAGGGACCTGGAGGCAGGAGCTGATGCAGAGGCCATGGAGGTGCACTGCTTACTGTCCTCTTTGAGGGACTGTGGGGAGGGTTTGAGCGGTCAGACTTTTCTCTTGAAGTGAGGAGCTTATGAAGAAAGTGAATGGAGATGAAGAGAAACATCTATGGGAAAGCGGCTCTTATTGGTGTGGGAGACAGGATGTCACCCTTTAGTCTGTCTTTGCTGTTCAGACAGCGGAGAAGACACCAGGAAACTGAATTCCAACCCTGGCTGCTCCTTCCCTGTGCACATTTCAAAGGTCACTCACTCAGACATGAAAAACCTTTAAACATGTTACAAAACAAATACATTTAAAAAATATCTGTCCCCAGTGATGGGTTGACTTTTTAAATTATGTTCATGGATTTTTTAAATGAAAACGCTATAAAATACAGCCCCCTGGTGATTGTACCTCGTCTCATTTGACCAATCGTCCATCCAGCGTGTCTGACATGAGCTCCAGTGCTCCCTCCACGGCCTCCCGGTCTTTATCTTTACTTGGTGGCTACTCCAGCGTTGTTGTCCAAGTCATTATCCCGGGAGCTATCCTCGGTTTTTCTCTGCCTCTCACATGCCATACCCGATCCACATTGAAATTTCTCAATTTCTCTCTTCCTCCAACACACATCCATGTGTTTGTGTGTGTGTGTGTGTGTGTGTGTGTGTGTGAGTGTATGTGAGTGTGTGTGAGTGTATGTGCATGTGTGCGTGAGTGTGTGTGAGTGTATGTGCGTGCGTGTGTGTGTGTGTGTGTGTGTGTGTGTGTGTGTTGAACTCCTCCTCTGCTGATGCTGTGGTCTGTGCTACTGCCTTCCCGTATGTGGGGATGATCTCATTAGCTGCCCACGCCTGCCTGCGTCCACCTGTGCCCTCCTCCCAGCAGCAGAGAAGCTAGAGTGACTCTTGGAAAACCTGGACAATGTGGAGACTCTGCTTGGCTGTGGCCCTCACAGCAGCACCTCACAATAATAGCCCGTAGAAAGGGCTTACATAATATTAGATAAAATGCAGATGTTAAAATACAGATGTCTAGCGACAGCTGAATTCCGTGTAGACGGTGGATGATAGTGCGTGTGGGCGGGCGGGGTTTGGGACTCCTAGTCTGCCTCTCTCTGACCTGTTCACTTGAGACAGGTTCTCGTATTTGAAGCTGGAGACAAACTGGCAGCTAGCAAGCCAGAGATGCTCATGTCTCTGTCTCTATGGGGCTGGGGTTAACAAACCTGTGTGTGGCTGTGCCCGGCTTTTCATGTGGGGATGCTGAGTTCTGAACTCAGGTCTCAGGCTTGAAACCTTGGCCGTTGAAATTATCTCTCCAGCTCCAGAATTTCTGATTGGATTGAGTAATGCCTCAGGAATAGGTTGGGTTGTGTCCATGAGGCTGTTTCCAGAACCGCTGACTGATGGGGGAAA